TTTTTTGATAAATCAATACCAAGTATTTCATATACTATTACTTCATGTAAATAAACTATTTTTTTAGTGATATCAACAACTGCCTCCCATTCATCACTACCTGAAACAACTACCTTATCTGCAACATCTTCCTGTATTATGGCATCAGTTCAATTATTGCCACTATCCTCACACTTGTCAGAAGCAACTACATCAATAATGCCTTCAGATATTTCTCAAAGTGGATTATCAGAATTGGATATGCATACACATGAAAATTTTAAGTTGCAATTAACAGCCACTATACCTCAAAAACTTAGATTTTTAATGCAACATCCTATACAACCAATAAACATTAAATATGATAAATTATATTATCGAATGGTAATGAGTTAAAAAATACCTAGATAATGGATTACCATAAAAATTATATGCAATAAAGCCCAAGCTGTGTACTGCTCAATCTGCCTGGCATTTGCAGTATGCGAAAACACTTTCACAACAGCCTCTACAAATTTTCGCCACATGCACTCAGTTATTAAAATACATGAAAATTCAAGTGCATATTAGTACTGTCGAGGCCTACCTCAGAGCTTCAAAAAACCAGTCATTTAATAATTCAATTAGCGTTAAAATATTAAATGAAAAAAATCGACAAATTCATAACAATATCCACATAATAAAACAAATATTTGAGATATTAAAGTTTTTAAGTAAACAAAACTTACCATACAGAGGATCAAATGCTACCGAAACACTTAGCCTCTTTGATAATGAAAATTTATGGCAATTTCCTGGAAATGATCCGTATTATATCAAAGAATGATCAAATACTTAGAGATCATTTAGAGAAGGCTATTTTAAAAAGCAAACGTAGAAAAGATACGCTTAAACTGTCTAACAAATCAAAATCGAAGGGAAGAGGTTCTCTCATAACCTTGTTATCAAAAACAACTGTCAACAAAGTTATTGATGCTGTTCTTGATCAAATCAGGAATTTAATAAAAAAGGAGATTGGTGACAAACGGTTTAGTTTGCAAATGGATTGTACTCAAGACATTTGCGTTTATGATCAAGCAACCATTTGCCTACGATACATATATAATGGTAAAATAACAGAAAGGCTTTTTGCACTTACAATAGTTACGAACTCTTCTGGAAAAGGATTTTTTGATATCGTGAGTGAATGCTTTTTAAAACATGGAATTCAAATGAGAAATATAATTGGAGAATCATTTGATGGTGCTGCAAATATGCGGGGGGATGTTGGGTTGCAAGCTCTTATTAGACAAGAGGCTCCAAGTAGCTTGTATATTTGGTGTTACAGTCACATATTATATCTCTGTATATGTGATTCATGCGATAATATTGAAGGCAAAATTTTATTTGGATTATTGAACAGACTAGCAACTTTCTTTGGTGAATCATATAAAAGGATGGACGCTTGGGTGAAACAGAATAACTCAACTGGCCAAAATAAACTGAGAAGGCTGCGAAAAATAGGTGAGACAACGTGGTGGGCACGTGAATAAGCCCTTAAATGGATATATGGCAAAGAGAGCTTACTTCCAATAACGATAAGTGCACTTCGATTCATAATAGATAATAAATCATTTGAGGCAAAAACCTCATCAGAAGCGCAGTCGTTGATAGATAATTCATGTAAATTTAAGACTCTTAGTACAGTTGTAATATATTTAGAAATTTTTGAAATAATGGGGCCATTGTCATTGTATCTTCAAACCAAAAATTTAGATATTTTGTAGGCATGGAAGATGATAGAAGATGCTAAGTCTTCTGTGTCATCGTTAACTATTATATCAATTCAAAATAAAGCAATAAAAATGGCTTCTGATTTAAATGAAACACTTTCATATTTAAAGCTTCCGGAGAGTATCTGTGTACAGACTGCTCTGCCAAAAATTCGAATAGGACGAGCAAAGAGAATATATAGTGATGAAGGCCAGGATGAACGTCCTCAAGAAACGATTGACCTTTATAGGGTTGAAGTATTTCGTCCTATAATTGATCAAATTATAAACAGTTTGTCGGAACGCTTTTCTGCGAATAGAGAGCTTATTTTGAATGTGCGATATTTGCATCCAAGGCATTTTGATGACATAAATAGTAAAGGTATTTCTGAAATGGCCTTGGAAAAACTGGCGCAATTGGCAAATATATCGAGTGATAAATTACATAACGAATTGTGTTCATTTTCTAGTGTATTCAAAGATTTAATAGCAGAATTAAATGAAACGGACGATGATATCTTATGTACAAGTGAGGAGTCGAATGAAGAAGATGGACTACTACAATATGATAATAACTCGAAGTGATAAATGTAACAATTGTTTAATATGCGTGTATGAAATTCTTAAGAGGTACAATATGCATACAAGTGCATACACTAATATATTTTTGGCGTATGAATACATTTTAACTTTATCATTTACGCAGGTTAATTGCGAGAGAACATTTAGCAAATTGAAAATTATAAAAAATAGGCTGAGAGCTAATATAGGCCAAGAAAAATTAGAAGCGTTTTTAACGATGTCAGTTGAACGAGAACTATTGATTGAAATAGAAGATATTCTTGTTTATCGCAAAGGTTCAAAGTTAATGAGAGATTTATTAACATAAAAATTATATATTATTAATTCATTTATTTAAATCTTATTTATATCTATTACAATATGATCTCTAATTTTATAAGTGTAACAATTTTATTCTCTGTGCAATATTGTATAATTGTTGTAATTTTATATGTGTAATTAATTGATTTTATATATTGAGTATGTATTATATTATATTTAACATGTGATGTATGATTTGATTTTATAGTGCAATATCCTTGTAAATCTAATATAAAATATATATGTGCAATGGATATTTTTTTATATGTGCAATGAATATTTTTTAATATGTGCAAATGAATATTTTTTAATATGTGCAATGAATATTTTTTTATATGTGCAATGAATATTTTTTTATATGTGCAATGAATATTTTTTTATGTGTTCAATGAATATAATTTTGGATGTGCAATTTTTTAAAATAAAATATATGATTATCGTGTCATTATTCTTTTCTTTTTTTTAAATGTAAATTGTTTGAACCTATAAAAAATAACAAGTAATAAAAATATATAATTTAAGGAAGCCATTTGCAAAATAGGGGGTATGGGGGCAAAGACCCATAAAAATGAGGCCGCTATAAAAAAAATGCCCATGAGGCCGTAACGTCGCCAGTCCGCCCCTGCATAGCAGGCTTAAGCCAGCCGCGGCCGCTGACATTTTTTCAAGCAGGAAAAGTCACTAATTAAGATGAGCTGTGCCGCCAGACTTACCACCAAACACATTTTCTTCTTATCTTTATTTTATAAACCTATGCGTTTTCTTTTAAAGACAGCTGGCGAAGTTGGCAATATAAATTACAATGCACCAATACATCGGAAAGATTAATATTCAATGCCAAAGGAACCTCTTTATGCCCCACCAATCTCGACAAAATAATATTTATTTACAATTATAATTTGACTATTTTTGATTTTTAATTTATTCTATTTCTTACTCTATGTTTTATGTGCATTTCAAAATATATATAAATTTGTTTTAATAAAAATCGATAGAATATTACTAATGGGATGTGTGACTCTGACCTGAGTAAAATTTCTTTCCTTTATCTATTTCGGAAAATGATTGCATAAATTTATATAGGGGTGGGACAAAAAAAATATTAATTTTTTAAAATATGTAGTGCCACCGACGTAGCCGCATATTCAATCTCTAATTATGTACTAGAGGAGATGTGGTATTGCTGGCCATAATTTCGTTGTTTTTTTTTAAAAAAAAGGATTAAAGATTGGGTTATTTAATCAATGTGTGGCCCTCTTTAATATAAAATTTGGATCAAAGCTATATCTATAATCGTTTTTGAGCTAAATGTAATTGTCTGAATTTTTGGCCAGTCATAACATGGTATCCTTCCCTGGGTATCTTATCTTTTTTCAATTTTTTCCAAAAAATTAAATTGTGCATTATTGCCATTTGCTTTTTATAGGTCGCACTACCCACTCTTTCCCAATTTTTGATACTTGATTAATACTTATTAATCCTTTAATAAATTTTACGCGCTACAAAAATAAATAAATTATGAGCTAAATGAAAGCACCATTTCTAAACTTACACAGTAGTGCGTAATTAAGTACGTTTTAATGCTTTAAACTATTTGGTATATATCTTAGATAATACATATTACTGGTATATGAGAAAAAAATGACTGATTGGAAAATAGTAGAAACACTGAATAGAGAGTTCTGGCGATAAGTATATAAATGAGGTTTTTAGAAAAATTTCTCTACGAGTTGGCAGCATCTCATGTATTCAATGTTCAATGCAACTTGCATCCATTAAAACAATTCTTGTGAATAAATTTTACTTGCTTTGATTTAAAATATTTTTATCTTTTACCTTAATTATATTTTATTTATGTTGTCTTCCTCCTTTATTCTTTTATCATAATCTGTATCTTATTTTATATAATATATTTTTTTTTTCTAATACAAACCGCCCTTCCCCCTTCTCTTTTAACACTTTTTGCTCATTTATAAATTTGATATTAAAATACTTTATTGCCAAATATAAAAAAACTACCACATCCCGTAATAAATAATTAAATTACCTCATCTAGTAAAAATAAGGCAAAAAAAATTGTATTATATATTTAAAAAAACCCTATTCCTTTATATCTTTCCTCCCAGAGACCTGTAGGCAAGTAAGAAAACCCCCACGGAACCGTAATGGTATCATTTAAAAAACCCGCACCGCATTTAAAAATTTAATTTTAAACCAGAGTTGGGCCAAATTTAAAATAGTAAATTATTTCCACTAAAGAGTTGAAAAATTTGATGATGATTAATTTTTTTAAACATATTACTTCTCTTTTAGATTTACAAAATAACAACCTAAATTATTAGAATGACAGATTTAAAAAAAATTTGGCTAGAGCCTGAAAATAGTTACCTCTATGCAGGCTTCTGATATTTATGAATTTTTGAAGGCAGTGCTCGATTATTAGAGTATAACCCCACTTTGATCAATTTTACGGGAGAACGGTTTTAAAACAAATTTGAGTTGCTTTTTAAATGTATGGAGTGGAATTGATAACTTAGAATTCTTAACTCAATTTCGATCAAAAATGAAGTCAGAATATAATCCTGGAATATTCAAGCGATGATGTGTTAAATTTACTTGCTATAATTCTTTTTAGGGGAATCGAATACTTTTAATATTGAATTAATTAAAAACTATATTTGAAAATAATTTCTTTTTTTTTAATTTATAATTTATGCCAAATTTTTCAAATCATCAATGTTATATATTATATTTTAGTTTTTTTATCATTTAAATTATCAATCACAATTATTTTATATCATAATTTATTAATTAACCTTTGCTTTAAACTTAAAACGTATTAATATTTGTATAAAATATCAAAGCATTTTGGTACAAACTGCAATTATTTAGTTTATTTTTTTAATAAGTATATGGCGTTGTTTGTGGGCTCTCTTTTTAAAATAATGATTTCTTATTATTTATTCAAAATAATATACCTTATCGGAAATTGTATATTTCTTAAAGAGTATAAAAAAAAATTGTTATAAATATTCTTTGAAGAAATTTATATAGTATTATACAAATAATAAAATAGGAAGTTATATTATATGCATTTAAAGAAAAATACTTATTAACTCACTGTCTTTGTATTATAATTTTAATGGAATGACCAAAATTTGTAATATTGTCACTAAGAATTTTCTAGAGAAAATTGATTCAAAAATATTTTTTAAAGTAGCCTTGACTAATATTTAGGCAACTTTACCATGATTTATTATGGTAATATTCTCTGTTTAATTATAGAGTAAAATTGAGATTTACCAAGACTAGATGTGGCACAGTTCAACCGCAATGAAAGTGTATTGGGTGTAAAATATTGGCATCTAAAGGGGGAGACATGGACTAAATGTTCACACAGCCATGCACAAATGTAATTCCTTGTAGTCGGAGCTTCAGAGCAGCTCATATACAAAATATTCCCAACCAACCACATCAAAAGAGAGTATAAGACCTGAACTAAGATCCCTCGGGATCAGGCAAATCTCTAATCTGGGTCTTAATTAAAAAATATAATATATTTATTCTATGTTTTTGCAATAGTGTTGCTGTACAATTTCCATGACATTTAAACTTTTGAACCTAGATTCACAATGAGTCAAGGGAATTTTTAATATTATAACCACTAGAATTTTTTAATTTAAAGGCTTATTATAGGGAAAGCAATTAAAGAATTAATATTTTTTTTCTTCCTTTTTAAATTTATTTCAATCATTATTTTAATAAATTTTTATACTTTTAAATGTAAATAATTAAAAATCAAATTTTATATAATTAACTAATTTTTTACATTTATACGGTCATTCCACAAATATTATTAATTTATACAATTGTCTATACAAAAATTTACATTTTATTGTATTCTTATTCGATTTGATTCGAATAAAGAAATTAAATAAATTCAAAAAATCTGCAAATTTGATGAGATGTTGCCACTGACGATACAATTTCCTGTATTGCATGCCGAGTACTCATTTCACGTTCCGTAAAATATACAATAAATATTTTATAAATAAATTTGGAACAATTGCATGGTATGTAATAGGGATCTGAACCAAAACTATTATCGGTTTGAATTTAAGTTCAGGTTCGGATAAAAATAAAGGTTCAGTCCGGAAAAAAAGTATAGGTTTGGTTCGAACCTATAAAAATGTTTTGAAGACTTTTAAACCTACATTCGATTTATATATTTTATTTGTTGTGATATTTTGTGAAATTTATTGATTTCTACAAGGCGGTTTCTTTTTATGCGATGCTCAAGATTTGTTCCCGGTTATCCTTTATAGTTGTTAATCAGTCATATATCATTTTGATGTGTTATTTATATTACTATATGTAAATAATTTATATATTGGATTCGATTTATTTATAAGCATAAAAACAAAATAAAAAATTTAAATTTAAAGAAAAAAACAAAAAAAACGAGAAAAAAATACGAAAAATAACAATGCCACTAAATATTTAAAACAAACAAAAATAGGGTGTTCCAGTTCAAAAGCTTTTTATCCTAGACTAACCCAGGACACGACTTAAGCTTAAAAATATTTAAATGTGTAAAATAGTGATATACCAATGGTTATAAAAATTAAATTAGAATGTTATCAATATACTAATAATAACTTTAACATAATTTTATAAGCAGCTCGAACCGGTTCAAAGGCAATATAGAGGTTCCGTTTAGGTTCGAATAGAAAATCATTTAACAATTCAGGTTCGGTCTAGATTTGTAAAAAATAGCGGTTAATACGTTTAGCGGTTCGGTTCAGGTTCGGTTCAGGTTCGGTTTGGATCCCTGATATGTAATCAGGGTTACCAGGTCTAGCATATTGACTAGTAGACTACCATATTTTTTTAAAAAATTCGTAATCTACCACACTCACTCAACTATTACAATTCTATCGCATTTTTTAACATTTCCAAAATATACCTCAAAAACTTTAACAAACTTTCCTACATTTTAAATTTTTGAAATTTTTATATAAAAATATCATGTCCTATGTTGAAAAAAGGAAAAATCTATAAAAATCTACCACAATGGAAGAATTTGTATATGTAATTGAAGCAACGATCTATATTTATTTTTTATTCAATATTTAGGCCACGTGATTATTATATAATTTTAATTTCGCTTTTTATTACAACCTATTTTTAAAATGGCTTATTTTTTTATAAAATTATTTTCTCAATTTTCTACACATCAAAAAGAAGATAAATAAGTTATTTGACATATCTCAAAATTTTAAAATTAGATAAGTAAAAGGTTAAAATAAATGTTTATTAAATTATTTTATATATATTTAGTATTTTCTATAATTATATTTTGTATAATCATATGTGGTGGTTTTTAAGCCTCATTATGCAATAAAAACATTTTATTTTATATTTGACAAAGGGGTGAGAAGGTCGAAGCTATAACCCTCAAATACCAAAGAATGAAACAATAAACCAATGGCGTCACTAGGAAGAACGTATGGGTCTGAGCCCCCTGTAAAATTTGAAGAGCCCCCTGTAAAATTTGGAAAATTTTTTACACCAAAAAAGATAAATATTTTGAAAATGTTAGCTAAAAAAAAGGTCATTTTGAAAATGTTGGCTAAATGGAGGTCATTTTGAAAATAATTTTTGAGTCCCCTGAGATTGCAAAGGTTAATGCCCTTGGTATAAACTTTTTTTACTGTGCGGAGATGATTGGCTTCTACATAACTTTAAAATAATTCTCAGATGATGATGCTACCAACGGAAAGATTGCCTAGTGTAGAAGTAAGTCGAAATTATGTGCTCCATTTGATTTCCTATATTCCGCAACAAATCACTTATAATTTATTTTTTGATAACTGGTTTTTTTCTTCTAATTTCCAGGTCGAACTTGTATAAAGAGGGATATTTTGAACAGCCATCTCTTTTCTCCAAAATAATCGTCTTATAAACATCAATTTTATAGAAAGCGATTGAGAAATTAAAAATATTTTCATTTTAACGTCAAAATTTATATCACCAATATCTGGAAAACGGTGATGGTCAAATCAAACTGAAAACGGTGCATATGGAGCACAAATCCGTTCAATAGATATACCATCAAAAATCTTAAATGGTGACACCAAAAGGACCTAAGTTACCCAACCATTTTGTAATTTTCACATTTTTAAAATTTTTAATACTAAAAAAATTAAAATACTGCCCGGCTCGTGTACCTGGGCATGGCTGGGCTTAGAGCCGGGCACTGCAGGTCTCTAAAATATTTTATATATTATGAATGATATAATATATTTTAATAAGTTTTAAGGTAAAAATGTTTCTTCTTATTTTATTCTTTTTAAATATTCATTCTCACTTAAATCAAGTTCTTTTGCTTCTTCTTTATTAACATTAAATTGGGATATTATTTAATCGTTGCGGTTTAGTCGTAGAACGTGAATAAGATTTAAAATGTGTTAGTTCTTAAAACGAGCGTTTTGCAAAACAAGCACTTAGGAGATTTTTAATAGCATTTTAATAAATTTTACATATTCTGAAAAAATCAAAATAATTTCTTTCTTACTTAGTTTTTTAATATCTTCTAAGGAGTTAAATGTATATTTTTCCATTTGAGTAATCCAAACTAATCTCTATGATGATTAATTTCATAATCATTTGGAACATGATTTCCATCAATTTTTCGAATAATTCATCACTGGATTGTTGAATTGATTTTTGTTACTTGTTTATATAATCTAAAACTTTATAATAAATTTGTCTATATTCATGAACTGACCCGAAATGATGTCATGAAAAATTCGAGTCACCTTCGAATCTTAAAGATGGTTTTTCTGTAGCTTTAAAATAGGCTCCTCTAAATTTAATTCCTTTGACTTTAAATTAATCTCTCTCCAAAACTAATAGAAACTATCATCTTGTATTACATCTGGAATTTTGATAAGAATTTATATTTTATATTTAAAGTTTTGAAAGTGTAATCAAGAGCTTTGGATTTAGACATTTAAAATTTCTACTCACTCAAATATTGTTATCATCATTTAAGAAATAAAAAGTTTGTAATAATAAATTTTTTGCTTTTTTTGTAATAATCTCAATGCGAAATGTATTTATAATCCTAAGAAAAGATATATGATTATTTTCTAATTCCTTTCTAATGTATTCGGCGTAGAGCGTGAGATATAATTCATATATTTTTTAATGGGGGCCCATTAAGAGAGGAGAGATGGAAGAACATCGCAATATAGAATAATTAATAACTTATTTTTCTTATTTTTTATTTTTGAATGAGATATAATAATTTATCCCTTTTTTGCGGGGTTCAGCCCCCATAGAAATTTGTCAATTGTGGCTAGAGCCCCGCCTCCACGAAGTCGGTTTGTAGCGATTCTTATTGTTATTGTATTAAACGCACGCCAAAGGGCTAAGTATTATGTATAAGTAGTATCCATATGGTTTAATAAATTATGTAATAAGTTACATAAAAATATAATTGATCCGAATATTAATTTATTCTTTTTCAATACATGATATTTTGAGTAATTTTTGTTTAGCGTGAATATTAAAAGTTACTTTTGATGCTATGTATGCTTCTTATTTTAAAAATTAGCAGTGATGGTAACATTATTATTGCAGCAATAAGTTTCGGTGAAAAATAATCATTTTTAAAATAAAATTTGGTAGTAACGATCGAACAAACTAGTTGAAAATATCGATTTATTTAATATGACTTTATATACTCTTTACTAATAACCATTGAGATAGAATGATAAGGTAAGTGGTGAAGGGGGGAGGGGGGGGAAGGGGGGGGTGCTAGGTCCCTCTAAAAAATTTGAAGAGCCCCACACCCCCTCAAAATTTTGGTTTTTTTATGCCAAATGTAATTTTGAAAATGTGCCAAAAAAAGTAATATTTGATATTGTTAGCAAAAAAAGGTAATTTTAGATAATGTTACTAAAAAAAGGTAGTTTAGAAAATAATTTAAAATTTTTTAAATTTTATCCCACAATATATACAGCAATAAATTTTCCTCTTTTTATTAACTCCACAATTTTCTCTTTAAACACATCAAAATATGAATAATATATTCTCTGAATAATCATTTATAACATCATTCGCATAACCATAATTTATCACTTAATATTATATTAAATTAAAATTTAACAGCGCTATCATTGAGCAACACCCGTTATTATGAATAATTTGTTAATACTTTTAAATATATCCAATAAATCATATGGTTAATAAATTTCGTCCATATGTTTGGGATCCAATATATATTATGTTACAAATAATCATATTGCAATCCATTTATTATGCCATGCTGGGGATACTTTTGTCAATTTTCTTACGATTTGAGCTTAAAGCACCATCAATACATTATATATTTATACATGAAAATATAAATTTTTCTGACACTTTAGGCAAAGTAATTTCTTGCTTGTTTATACTAAATTCCTTAATATCATCCCTGGCTATTTGGTTTTTAGTTAAAAGAACGAAATTATGTTTAGATTTTTCAACCACTATTATAATTATCCATATAATAATTTCATACTTACTCAAAAAACAAATTCCTTCAACATTTGCTTGGTGGCTTATCAATGTTACATGCCTAACCTTATGCACAGTTGTGGCAGAATATCTATGCATGAAAACTGAACTGAAACAAATTCCAACTGAATATAGTTGCTTAAACAATATATAAATGTATTCTTTTATAGTGAATAAAAAGATTATTTTGTAAATATACCTTTAACAACTAATCTTAAATGTTTAATAATACATATAGTACTATGACATCTAATTTTGAATTAATTTAGTTTATTTTATTATGCTAGGTTATATATTTAAATTTATATAATATTGAATAGATCATCAAACTTTTAGGAAAAGAATTGAACATAAAGCTTGATATTTTTGCAAGAATTTAATTTGCTCAATATTCAGGGGAGTATTGTGAGGGGGAGTAAGCCCTCTTCTAACTTTTAGCCCCCCCCCCTTCACATCCCCCAAATAAAAAAAGGTTTATATTTTATTAAAATTTTTAAATAGTTAAAATCTTTTCCATGTATTTTTTTGTAGCCACATAGATGATAGAAATGTATAAGGTTTTATTTTTCAATTTATTATAGTAATTTTATGTCACCACTATTGTTTACTTAAAGTATAGAAGGTTCACCACCAAGTAGTGGTGATAAATATCAGCAGGTTTTGAGCCACCTTTAAAAAGGCAAACTATTTTAAACAAAAACTACCATCTTAGCCTTTATCGAAGTTTAAACTTAAAATATGGCTAAATCTTGAAAAAAATATACTCTTGTGTCTTGTCTCAAGTTTTAGTTAATTTTTTTGACTATTAAGATTGAGTCTATTAACAACACTAAAGGCTAATAGGAATTTAAAATTTTCAAATTAGTAAGTTATTAGTTGCTAAGATTAATCAATTTACTTTGAAAGAAATAATAAATTGGCATATTTTTTTTATCAGGTACTTCAGTGTCCTTTTGCCAATGAACAATTTTTGGATGGATATTTAAAAAAATAAATAACATGTTGACAATAAAATATTACATAAGCAGTATCTACATGACAGAAAAGTCATTGGAAGCAAATCCCCTCCAAAATCTACCCCCACCCCCTAAAAAAATTCCCATTGCTATAACAACTCCTTGATACTAATTTAAAAAATCATATGATAAACCATAACTTTAAAACAATTCTAATTAAGCACTTTCAGACCTCATGATTATTTAGTACTGGAAAAACAAATAACATTAGTTGGTGATAATAACTAGTTGCTAACTGTATTCTAAACATTAGCCACGAGCATTTATAACTTCAACCTGGACTAAATTGTTATCTTTTAAAGAATGAGAAGTAAATATCTAATAAATTTAAAAGATTTATTAATCTACAAATAGAGTTTATTTTCCTACCACTCTTTAAAAAAAATGAAAGCAAATCGTTCCTATCCGCCTTTTCATGTAGCTGTATGTTATTTGAACGAGGGAAAAATTTGAATTAAATTTTTTTTTTATTTTAGAAATTTTTTTCCATATATTCTTTATTAAAAAAGAAATTAGCCTACAAATCTAAATGCACGATTTGACGAAAAGCAAAATCTGCCAAAGATTCATAATAAATGAAAACGATTACTGGGTTTCGGCAATATATCGATGATGATTTTGCTAATGCAAAATTTAAAAACTCCCTAACTCTGTAGATCTTTGATTTCAGAATGAATTCCAGAAAATATGGGAAAAGAATCATGGCGGATGAATAAAATCTCTTCAAAGAAAATTACAACCTAAAAAGGAAGAAATAAAAAATTTATGAAATTTTTATCATCGCGGGTGAATAAAATCTTTCAAAAATAATACAACCCAAAGAAATTAAAGAATTATGGATTTTTTTGTTAAGGTTGGCACTTGGCAGAGAGTTAGACAAAGATTAAAAAAGTAATTTTAAAATTTTTATTTATTAAATTTATTTAAAAAATATTTAACTAAAAATACAATTTTATAATATCAATTTATATAAAAAAATCTATTAAATAATTTATATCAAACTAATGAGTTAATATTATAAAATGAGTCCATGAGGTTAATATTAAAGAATAAAAAAATCAATCTTTAAGGTTAATATTGAGTTCATAGATAGCGAAAATTTCATCTAATAACTCAATATTAACCTTAAAGATTGATTTTTTTATTCTTTAATATCTCACGGACTCATTTTATAATATTAACTCAATAGTTTGATATAAATTATTTAATAGATTTTTTTATATAAATTGATATTATAAACTATATAAAGAGGAAAAATATATTGTATTTTTAATTAAATATTTTTTAAATAAATTTAATAAATAAAAATTTTAAAATTACTTTTTTAATCTTTGTCTAATTCCCTGCCAACCTTAACAATAAAATTCATATTTATATTATTTTTTTAATTTCCATAGATATCGGTGATAACGTTTCCTTTATTTTAAAATAATATAAATAAAGAATTTATTCATATTAATAATAAAATATTATATATTTTCATATTTTTTGATATTTTTATTCAATATGACACTGTCAATATTGTTTGATAATAGTAACGGTCATGGTTTAGTCTTAAATTCAAATATTGTACCAATACCCTGTATTTACAGTTAGCGCGAATTCACGGCGAAGTATATAAAAAACACCTCAGAATACAGCATATTTTGTATATTTTGCCACGATTTCTTGCTAACTATGAAGAGTGACCTTTTCATATTTAGCGTGAATTTGCTGCGGAGAATATAAAAATAGAGCGTATTTTGTATAATTCGCTTCGATTTCACGCTAACTATTAATAAGGCATTATTCTGTATTATCTCAACATTTATATATTAACATAACTGATATTAATTTGCAATATTTTCAAATAAAATTTTAAACAACATTAATATAACAAGAATAATTTGGGTTCAATATCTCAATGGTATAATAAGAGTGAGGAGAAACCAAATTTTTAAATATTTAATGTGATGGCATGTAAAAAATGTAGATTTCTTAGATTGGCGATATTTCAGTTGCGAAATATATTTTATTTGTTACAAAATATCGAATTTTCTAATAATGCAAAGTAGAGTATTGTATGGATTCATATGAGTCTGATTAAACTGAATTTGAGTTGGTTTCACTTGGACAGGCTTCTCTTAGATTTGGATAAATGAGATTATTTATGTAAAAAAAGAACATTAAAGATAATTATTGTATCTAAAATGTAAAAATATTGATTATAATTAAAATAAACTGAATATATAATATGATCTACTTAGCCTACCACAGTTTTCCATTGGTCAAATTTGGACCTTAATTTTTAAATTTATTTTGCAGACTGTGGCAAAAATTAATTTTATTTTTATATAATTTTTTAGTTACCATTTCAATAATGATACCAAATTTTTTTTCATCAGTGCTTGGAAATTTTTTGCCTGCAATAAAATATCATACTAGCTTAACAGTCAAATAAAATTCGAAACTGGTAGAACTCACACTTATTCTTAAATGAAATATTGATCGCATCAGTCAGATAAAAAAAATTTCTCTCATTGGGTTAAATCTGAAAGGTCTAATCAAGGTCTTTATGCAAATTACATGTGAAAAATATAACAATAATAAAATAAAAATTTAATACACTACAAGTGTACTATATAGCTTATTATCATTATTGCTGTGCCTGTCAATCGCAAGTAACAAGTATTGACATTATTTCATGAAATGTATTTGATGAAAAGCAGTTTGTTCTATTTTAATGTACATTTTTATTTAAACTTGTATTTTCGATTATGTTTTGTTTATATATATTTATAATGTGTCATGGAAATTAGTAATTGATTTTTACAAGATAATGATATTTCTCTTAGGAGAAAAGGAAGTATGTTTTTACTTGAATAAAATTTATAAAATAGTATGCTTTAGTGATATTTGGAGGAAATACGCTTTTTATGATATTGTTACCTACTGAAATGGAAACGAAATTAACAGTAGGTTTTCGGAACGCAATGTATGCAAAGGTAAGAGAATCATAATATAATGAATGTTATAAAAGAAAAATATGAAAATAGAAGGAGAATGGAATAGATAGAAGAAAAAAGGAGAGGAGAAGAAGATATAAAAGTTAAATTCAATATGTTCTAAGAAGAGAAATTTGAAAGTTAAAAAGAAGGAAGAAGGTTAAAAATTTATTTAAAATATTTAATTTAAATGTGAATATATTATGAAAATAAAGGTTTATAAAAAAAAAGGGGTGTGTAAGTGCTGTAAACATTTCTAAAAAAATGGAACGCGTTCAACGTTCATTGACAAAATCGATGACGTTGACTTTTTAAAAAAGGAACGCGTTCACGTTCGTTCAAAATTTTATGATAAATTTTTTTTTATAATTTAATAATAAATGTCTTATATTTTTTAACACAAAGACATGTTAAATATAATATAGTTTTATTTTGATAATATAATTATAAATACAATATAACATAATATAGCGAATAATATTTTTATTTAAAAAATTTTTCCTATTAATTTTTATTAACAATTGTTTTAAAAATTCTGATAGACAGGAACCCTTGGCAGTTAATACATCATTAGCTATACAAAAACGCGCTCTACAGGGGCAGATGAGGGGATTGCTGTATTATACTTAATAAACAACTCTTTTAACGTGGGGAATTTATTAAAAACATTTATTGTTTTGTCCTTTGTATCAAAAAATTGAGATAAGTTATCTTCTTCCAATCCATCACTATTTCCTACTCAAAAAAGGATATCTCGAAATTAACAGTTCTTGCATTATCATTTCTAGGGTTTCAATGCATTTTTTTAAATAAAGCTATAAGTTTATTTTTTATAGGTTCGTTCTGTTGATGTTTAATCCATGGCCATTGAAGCTTGAATACTGGGTGTATAATTGAAGAAAGAACTTATTGATCTTCATATAATGTTCAAATCTTTAAAAATAAAATATATGAATAATTGATTTGATAGCGATAGGTTTAATACCTTTAATACTTCGTCTATCAATGGTTGACCATATTTTAGGCCCCTAATTTTTTTAATTTAAAATAACTATCGTTAGCGTCAAGTAGCCCAAATGCATTTTTTCTTCAAATTTAATGATATTGCTTAGTTATATTATATTATATAAAATAATTAATATTAGAATCAAATGTCATTTTAAATTGGAACTTGAAGATTTTAAAACTGATATACTTTTTGGGCACATTTTACATTTGGTAAGTATTGAAT